GGACATCATCGAGGTGGTGCCGGAGCCAGGGCAGCCGCTCACCAAGAACAAGTTCAAGGTGCTGTACGAGAAGGAGCAGAAGGGTCCCGTGACCGCCCTCTGCCACTGCAAAGGTTGGGGGTGGGGGGCTGCCGTGGAGGTTGACCATGCTGGTTGTCCCAGCAGCGTCCAGGGCAGGGTCTTCAACGCAGCAATCGAGGCCTGGGAGGCCCCGGCGTTTTGGGGCAGAGCAGGAGATGGGCTTTTCAGGCTCGAGGGACCTGCTCCAGGGTGTGATCCTGCCAGGTCTCCCTTAGTGGGAGTGGGGTTTCAGCCTCAGCCATGCAACTCTCCTCGAATCCTGCCCCAATCCCACCACGCGTGGGCCGCCTGTCCTGCAGGGGTGAAATATCGCTTGTCCCTTCCCTGCTGCAGATCTTCCTGTGGAGCCTGAAGGACAACGACCTGACGGGCATGGCCTTCATCGACACCCAGCTCTACATCCACCAGATGATCAGCGTCAAGAACTTCATCCTGGCCGCCGACGTCATGAAGAGCATCTCGCTGCTGCGCTACCAGGAGGAGAGCAAGACGCTGTCACTCGTCAGCCGGGTAGGGCTGCGGCAGGGAGCAGGGCTGTGCGCGGGGGAACGTCTCCGTGCAGCCGGGGGGATGTCTGCCACTGTGCCCAGGGGACTGTGGCCACCTGCAGGGGGACAGCTCCCTGCCATCCCTGGGGACCTGGGCCCTGCGTGGGAAGAGAGCAGGGCTCAGCCTGGCTCCAAGCTGGGGTGGCTCCTACGAGCCTGCGTATCTCGCTCCAGGATGCGAAGCCCTTGGAGGTCTACAGCGTGGACTTCATGGTGGACAGTAACCAGCTGGGCTTCCTAGGTATGTCCCCCTGCCGGGCACTGCGTCCCAGGGAGGCTGCTTGGGGGTCCCTGCGCAGCTCCAGGCGCCGTGGGAGGTGGGGTGGCCCCGGCGGGGGGAGCTTCGGGCGAGACCTGGACCCATGGGCTGCGCAGGGGCAGCGCTGGCTGGGCTGCGACCCGGGAGCTCACTGCTCCCAGGGGGTCGGGCCGGCGCGCCGGGGC